AGCAAGGGTCTTTTCTTATTTTTCTTCAATATACATTTTAAAAAAAAACTTACTTTGTGGAGTTCTCCAATGGAAATCCATGCTGCTTTATTTTTGTCTGGCTACATTTACTAGTAACCACACACAACTACTGGATGGTACCTTTAATAGGTAAATAAGCACCATTTAGCAGTTTCAAGTTTTTTTTTTCTTTCTTTTTTTGGTAGCTACTCACAGTAAGAATACAAAGAGAGAGAAAGAGAGAGCCAGACCTCGCAGGCATGCATAATACATGAGGTAGCAAGAGACGAGGGGCAATGTCCTGGTTCTCCTCTACAACTGCTGACCTAGGCAACAAACCCTCAACACACAATGTGAGGCAAATCCTCATCTAATGCATCCAGACCCATATCCCCTTTGCTGAGTGTGCATATGCTGCAGCCAAGTGCTTGGCTGGACCAGCAGGGCAAGTCAGGCTCTTTTCGGTTGTCACAAATATCCTCTAAAGTCACACTGAGTCCTAATTTAAATTTGAAGTGTAACAAAGCTTAGCCTTTTTTCTTTTTTTTTAGGTTTAAAGCTATCACCTCCTCAAAATATGTCCACAGCAGTGAAAGACCTCTACGGTAGATAGGGTGACAGCTGCGCTTGTAAGAACTGAATGTGCTAAAAAAGGTTGGCCATTACTGACCCCATGCGGCGTATCAATGTCATTACAGCTTGTTAGTGACATATTCTCCTATTGGCGGCTCCTCAGCGCCGTTACGTGGAATTGTAGAGAACTGTGTCCACTGATATTAACGACTTGTTAGAATTTAGTGACAAAAAAATGGCATAACAACTTGTAACGATTTTATTTTACTTAACAAAATTAGTTTTATTGCGACTAACTACAAATATTCAGTATTTTTTCTGTGTACTCCGGTCGCCAAGCAACCCCATTTTGTTGCCAAATTCACTGTCGGGTCTTTGTGCAATGACAATATAGTAAGTCCAAGTCTAAATCTATTTTTGATTTATCCTCTCATGTCAAAAGAAGAAAGAAAATTAAAGTATGATTAAGGCATGAAACTTCAGCTAAACACTTTAAAACTTAAAGTCTAGTTTAACAAGTTAGCATGTCAGCCTTTTACCTGACGACAGCTAATTCGTGCCGTTACTTGGCAACGACTGCTAGCAAGTTTGACTTTTAAATTAGCACCGTCAGGGTGCTAATTACGACTGGATATCAATTTAAGATACTCCCCAACACAGAAACTTTCTCAACTACAAGTAATACGAAGGTCTGTAACTTTTTATTGAAGTAATATAACAACCAGAGTTATGAATGGACTGAACTAAAGCATACATTTCGGATCCTTCTCAGAAATTTGGCCTGAGCAGTTTTGCTCCACCATGATTGGTCTTATTTGATCTCTGCCAATGATCCTCATAAAGGATATTTGTGTTTTTTTTATTATGCTTACAAATACACACTTATTCCTATTTCTATGTGCTTATACATACATATTCTTACACACACTCATATGCATATGACCTATGATTTAGCTTATGCTCAAATCTGTGGCTCACTGGTCCGATTAAAATGCACAAAGCCCCTCAAAATTTCATAGCTTTTTTCTTTTTAAAGAATTTTGCCATTATTAAACATTTATAAACTACAAGACAAGGTTGTATTTAGATACATTTGTTAAATTAAATGTAATTTAATCCCAAATTTCTGTTTGTAGCATAGACCTGAAGTAAGCTGTGTCCAACATTGCTTCTGTTTTGTGATTAGTTTGCAAATTGAAAGTGGGACCACATTGCCTGAGCAGATTCTCTCTCTAATGTGTGTAGTTTATAAGAAACAAACTCGACGAGGCTAACTTTATTAATTAACTTTATTTGTGTTATTTTGATGGTTTTATTTTTAAGGTCTCGATGGCCGACAGAATTAGTAGGTGGTGTGACTTACAAATGAGCACCAGCAGGGGGCAGTGCTGCTACGTGTGCAACTACAGAAAAGCAGCACTTTCGGCTACCAATTTAGCAAAATTGGAAAAATATGGATTTAAACAACAATAATTGCTGAAGTATTTTTGTTTGTCAAACAACAGTAACATAATTAAGCAAATAACTATAATATAATGTGGACATTTCATGCTTTTGAATATTTTCACCTGTAAATCACTTATGGCCCACGTACAGCAGAAATGCAATGCTTTGGTCTGAATTCCTCGTTATTGTAGCTCCACTGTGCCCGTCCCGCCCCGCCCCGCCCCCCTCCAGGTCGCAGACAGTCCCACTCCACGCCATTCGGTCAGTTCTGTAGCTTGTTAGAAACGATACGATTACCTGCAAGGAAATTTTTTATCAAAGATGTCAACAACCATCCAGCATCCATACATGTTAGAGCCAGAGTCAGAGTCTGTCCCAGGGCAGGAGAATGAAGGCGATTTTTAATGGATCGCAATGGTGTCATTTCTGAGTTTACATCCTCTCAGAGGACAATATGGAGCGTAGCTTAACCATATGCTATCACAATAGCATTAAAAAAGTAAAAGTCTCGCCATCATTAAGGAATTAGTTAACGGGAGCGTCAAGAACTTCTTTGAAGGCATTTGATAATGTGTTCTCCAAAACAAAAATGTTAAAAATAAAGCCAAATAACATCCAAAACATGTCTAATTGAGGCATATTTATATCGTCAAGGATACTGCTAAAAGCTAGAACACAGCGCTAACGTAAGAGGAAGAGGAAGGCTCAATGCCGCTATCAAACCAATAGCCAAAACGTCATTATCACCACACACACACACACACAAAAAAAAATCGGTCTAAAATAAGCTTTGTTGTCATTTTAATGTGATTTGGAGCTTACCGCTTTGCTGTAGTTTCAATAAAGAGAAGGAACCGACGCCTCAATCAGAGGAGGTCTTTCGAAAAATCACTCTTGATATTTCCGGAGGTTGCTGAAGCGCTCAAGAAGGCCTACTTTCTGATCTCCACTAATGTGGGTACTTTTCTGACAAAAATAACATTTAACCAGACACTTCGAAGAGGCTCCGATGATGAGTAATAAGAAATACACGCTGGAACCGAACATTTTGACTTGGTTACTTATTACAACTACTTCGGCATAGCTGAACTTGTACTACAAAAATTGCTCGAGGAAAAGAAAAATGGCGGATTCATACACAAAACTGATTAACCGGAAGTCCATGACTTTTTTTAGTCATTTCTTTTTTTTCCTTCTTCTTTGATGTTTATTGGTGGTTTGCAAACAACGAAAATTGTGCATTACCGCCACCAACTGATGTGGAGTGTGGATCAGAATGTCACTCAAGTATTAAATTCTATTAAATCATGACCTTTTTAAACGACCTTCTTGCTAAGCAGTTCCTAAGCAAATATGGTGACAGAATACACATGAAAAGATAATAGGTGATAGAGAGCAATGAAGAGACTGAAAATTTTAACCCAAAAAGAGTATAAAAATAGCACTGAGCGCAAATAAATTAGAATTTTTTGCACTCCTAGATACTCAAAGTTCACAAAAATATGAATTTCAAGGCTAAAAAGGTGGATTTTGCACATGTTCCTTTTAGGAATGCAGAAGGGTTAGAAAAGAAAAGCACATCATTGAGTTTATGTCCAAATTTAAGGCAGTCACTGCAACTTTAAAGAACTAGTAAGTCTATATTTTTTGTCAAAACAAAATCTTAGTCTAAATACCAATACAGACAAGACAGGTTGGAAACTTTATTTTTATTTTAGTGGTTTTTAATACATCCTGGTAATGCAAATCAAATTCTGGATTGAAAACAGTCAATTCTTTTGTTGTTTGGAAAATTTTTGGCAATTAAAAAAATGATATGACAACCAGTTTTACAGGAAAAAAAAAAACTGTGTGGCTTCAGGTGTCATGTGCAGGAACACGTTACACTGAAGTGTGTTTTCTAGAAACAGCTTCTGTGGGAAGTGGAAGTCATTGAAAAGCCTGTTCATCATCTTCCCACAGCAGCCGTTTCTCCCCTCAGGGCTGAAAACCTCTCAACTTTCAGGCTTTCAAAGGAAAGAAACTCGTGATTTAATAAATGTGTGTTTACGGTGTCCGGTTCGTCTTTGCTGCCCTTCTATAAAACCGAAGATCTTAATGTCACCTCGACCGACGTGACTTTCTGGAAAATTCCGTCAACATAATCAAACACTTAGCTAGTTTTAGCACAACTTCAATCCTGGGTCAGTTTGTTTAGTTACAGCTTAAACAGACTCCTTATAGTGTTAGATATTCAAACATTCATTAAATAAAAAAAACTAGAATAATCACAAAGGCATTAACGGGAGCATTTTAAACTCTGTCAGAATTTTTTTTTTAAACAAGCAATGTTTTTGCCATTTAAGAGATAAGCTAGTTAAGTGATGAGTCATCGAGATGTGCTCATCGAACAAAGGTGCGGTTAAGGTGAATCACAGTGGAAGCAAAATAAATACAAAACGTCATCAAATTTTGAACTTTTAAAAGTCTAAAAGACAAACTAACACAAAAAAAAATAGAAAACCACACATTTAAGTTTTACTTTCATTTTGTATATTGGGAGTACAGCTCAAGAACGTCAACGTTTCGCCGCTGCCGTCATGATCCCTGCCACAGGAATGCCCTCCTTCCAGTCGGAGCTGCCAGTCGCTTGTGGCAACCATCAGAGGTACACCATGAACCAGAGAACTCAACCTCCACACGCCTTTCAGATGCCTTCCAACTAAGTGACGTCGGACAAAGGCAGATGTTCTAACCCATCATTGGTTTAAGTCTTAATCCCTTTTAATGACTCCAACTCAGTCGGGAAACGTACTATTGTCACTGTTTTTTTTTTTTTCTTTTTCCTGTGTAAATGCATTGGCACGTGCTTTCCGAACAAGGGTGTTTTCCCGCACGTCGTCTAGCAAGTCAAATTGAATCAGCGTTCACATGAAATCTCTGTGGGAAAAGTCACTTCACACCAGGCAGTGTTCCAACCAGGAAGATGAAGGAGTTTTAAGTTCCATCACTAAAGTGCTTTTTTTCTTGTCAGAATCTTGTAAGCTTCCTTAAACGCATTCTGCTTTCATTCCTTTTGGTGCAAAGCAACGAACCATAGAGTTCGGAAAGCCACCTTTTATGAGTCGAAGCCCGTTTTCCCAGGAACCGATCGATCCAATCGGCTTGGCTTAGCGGGCCTCACCTGGCGAACCAGCCGAGACTGGCGGTTTGTCTCAGCGGCTGCTTCTGGCCTTTGCGATACAAGCGCAGGACGAAATCGAAGTTAGCCATCGTGGACATGGCGTAGAAGACGTTGGCTTTGTCCGGCACAAGCAACTCTGAGGACAGAGAAACATACGCTGGTTATCGTCGTGTTACTCTCCCGACCGCGGCGTTTACTCTGACCGGCTCGGTGTGTTCGGACCTTTCTGCTGCGACATGATCTGGGACAGGGTGAAGTCCTGCGGGTTCATGTGCTCCAGGTGATGCTTCTCCAAAGCCCTCTGGATCACCTGGGCCGTTTTATCCTGACTGGTCAGCTGCAGAGACACAAAAAAAACAAAAACAAACACACACCTCAGTGAGTGGCAACATTCCGTTTAGTCACGGTGTGTGACGTGTTTTAGCATGCGCTGGAGACAGCCCATTCCCGCCAAACAGCATTTTCTCTTGATATTTTGAAGAACTGCTTCCGTTTTGGTTGGGTTTTCCATTTTGGTTTGTCGGTAAGGCTTCCCAACTGATTCCTGTTCTGGTGTTAAGATAAGCAACCACACCAGACAGATATTTATGGATGAAAACATCTGACTGAACAATGCAAAACCAAACCAAAACCTACATACTCAAGAATTAAACCAAAGATGTGGCCCCAAAGTAAAATAAAGAGCAAGGAGGACAGAATGTACATAGTTTTAAAAATCAAAAGAGGAAAAATCTAAATTGATTAGCCTGCAGGAATATCAGGAATCCAGCATTCTCCATTTTAATGTGGTCCAAGAATGAAGACTCTATAGAGTCTATTTGACCTCAAATAGACTCTATTTGACCTCAAATAGACTCTATTTGACCTCAAATAGACTCTATAGAGTCTTCATGTTCCTCAGTGAACCCTAACAAGGTAAGGTAATTTTATTTATATAGCACGTTTTCAGCAACAAGGCAATACAAAGTGCTTGGAGTTAGGGTTCGGGTTCAGCTTGTTTTGAGCAAGTTTAAACATGCTTCAGATGTTTTATTCATACTCTTAGACAAGAAATCGACCAGAATTTTCAGCTTGATCGGCTCTAACCTTTGGTTACAAACTTAAACTGATCTACACAGGAGCTAGCGGTTTGTACTGATTCTTTTTTTGTGTTGTCATTCATACTATAATGATGTGAAAGAAGTTAGAAGAAGAACGCAGACATAACACAGCAGCATGCCGTTTATGGAAGAAATAATAAATGCCGTCATCTGTAGGAGACGATAGGAGCCGTCAGTATCATCAGACTTTCAAAAGTTCATAAATATAATTTTCAACCATTGTTTACATCTGGATTTATCACAAATTATGATGAAGAAAGAACCATACAGATCTCAATAACCATCTTTCTAATTAAAGCAACATTTCTCTTCTAATTTTAAGACATTCTTCTGGTGAAGTTGCGCAAGTTAGACCTTTTTTTTTTTTTTTACTTTTTTACTTTAGCTTGCTCTTAATAATCTGTCATAAAACTCACAGGCGGGATGATACAAACCACTTTTTGAAAATATGTTTAGCCATTTGGAATTTCTATTTGTAGAAGAAGAAAAAAAAGCGAGAAAATCTGATGGTAGGAAAAAAACGTAACATTTTTTTTAAAGCCACATCTCGAAGCCGTACTCCAAACTGAACCAAACTCACCAGGATGCTTTTGTACATGTTGCCGTTGTCGAGTCCCAGGTCCACACTGACCCGGATGATGCAGGAGTCGCAGCCCTGCCGGTTGTACATGGGCAGGGACGTCATGGAAACGGAGCGCTTGTGGTGGGGGGACGGGTGAGCGCCGGGTCGGGCGGCAGCGGCGGCTGGCTCTGTACCACACAGGTTGGCGCTGCAGTCTGACGAGGAACCAGACGGAGACTCTAGAGAGGAAGCAGCTGAGGGGCAAGGGAAGGACGAGGAAGAGGAGGAGGAAGAGAAGGCCTCAGATACGTTGTTGTAGGAGCTGTGGAAGGACTGGAGAGGAAAAGCAGAGAGAAAATAAAATAAACTTTCTTGAATGGTGTTTAAATATTAAAAACCCCTTTTCTCTACTAATTAGAAATGCGTAAATGTTGTGTTTGCTTCAAGAGGACGACTCAGAAACAGAGCGCATTCTGTTGGAGACACACAATGACTTGGCTTTCAACAAAGACCATCAGTGTCAGCACTAGAGACAATAGATACAAGACAGAGACAATGGGCTTTCATCTAAGAACAGAGACACACACTCTCACACACAGAGAGGGAGAGAGATGGTTACCTGTAGTTTAATAGAACATGTTGTGTTTGGGGAAGAAAGATCTTCCATCTCAGATCCACTGGATCCAGAGGATGAGAGGCTGATCTGGTCAGCGGGGAGTTTCTTAGCGGTCTCACTCACCGACCTGAAGCTGAGGGGGAAAAACCTCATTAAGGATGCTGCAGCAAACCAACTGAACCAGAAGAATAACAACATTACACAAGCTGTTAATCAACATTTAAAAACTTTTAATGCATTTTTTTTTTTAATCTACAAACATCCTGAGCTGGAACCTTTGGATTCACGTTTTGGATACGGCTGTAAATCCGATGCACAAGCTGATTTCCTCGGCCCAGTGGGGGTTGCTTTTAAAACCAATCTGATGGGACGCTGGGAAACACTACTGTTATGTTTAAGTTGTGCTAAAAGGAGTTAGCCTAGAGTCGAAACTTTTCAAGCCTAAAATAGCATCCTAATGCTCAACAGGTCACAGCAGGACAAGTCTGAACAGACAGCCAGAGCTACAATCCAAACGAGCTTCAGCTAGGTTGCTAGCAAGGAGGGGAAGAAATTTCAACCTCCATATGTGGGAAGGTAGTAGAAACAAACTACCCCATTCGCTTCTCAGTCCTCTACTCCTTTTTATTGCTCTATTGCATAAAATATAATTAAAATTTGTTGTAGGGTGTGGTTGTGACAAAGTTTAAAAAGGTCAAAGGGTCTGACTACTTTTCCGAGACGTTGTACGCAGTGACACTCACAAGGAGAGTTTCTTTGTGATAGAGCGGTTGCTCCAGGAATTCGGTGAACAAGCGTCCACCGGAGGCTCCAGCTGCTTTGACATTTCATAGCTGTAACAGAAAGAAAATAGAAAACACAAGAAAGTATTGAATTTTCATGCAAACTGCTTTTTTCCTCCCCTAATTTGAATCTCCAAATCAAACATCCTCCATTTCTTTTATTCTTTTATGCTGAAAAAAGGTTTTAAAAAGCAACTTCTGTAGTGCACAGAAACCAACTCTTTACTATACTCAAGCAGGGATGCGTGTGATTTTGTCACATGTCGAAGGGGGAAATAAAAAAATATATATTTTCGGCTCACCTCTCCTGATCTGTGAGCAGTCTGTGTCCGTGCAGCCAAGCGGCGATTTTGGGATGTTTGGGGAGCTTGTACTGGGAACAGGACGCCTGCAGCACGCGGATCTGCGACAAGACGTCAAACTCCTGTGTGGGAAACGAGAAATGTTGACGGTGAGACGGTGAGAGCAGGGCGAAACGGACCGCTGGATGTCAGGACTTCAGGTTGCATAATCTGGCCCGGAGCAACAAGGTTGCAGTTGCAACACTCAAGAAAGTCACATGAGAACTCCAGCTTCGAATATGAAGTCAGGTTTATGTTTAACTTTCTGTCAACTCTGACAACACATATGTACTGCTCTACTATCTACTATACACTCAGCCAGCATGTAGAGAAATGTCACATAAAGAATCCATTAAATGACAGGAGCTACTTACCCTCCTCCTCTTCTCAAAGTTTATAAGTCCATCCTGTTGGGAGAGTGGATTATTAGCACTTTCATTTATTACATAAATCAATGATTAATTTGGTAGAAGAAAGCCTAACTAAGTTGTTGTTTTTTTTTTTAAATATTAACCATGTTGGTAAAAGTACAACAATAGCTTTCTTGAGCAACTCTGCAATTTTTTCACACATCTTTGGGGTCAGTTTGTTTTTTTTAAGTGAATTATTGTAACTGCTACACAGCTGATTTTACAAGCTCAAAACTTCAATAGTGTATATAAGCATAATTTTAAAAACCTAATTAGTCAATTTATTTCATTCTAAAAAGGCAGAATTTTTCTTTATCAAACTAAGCTTTTATTTGTATTAAAACTACCATTATTGCTTCTATAAGAATATTAGTTGTTAATGATCTACATGCAACAAAAAACTGACGGTTACAAGAAACTCAAAAGTCCAGTTCTAGAGCCACAAGTGGCGCTTTGGCTCACTTAATATATTAAAAGATGAAACATTGTTTCATTCTTTTGTTCTGTGCTCTAATGAAATTCACTGGCCCTTCTGGTAAATTTGATCTAGAACTGCCAATAAAATGTTCAAGTATTCCAGCATAAACCTAGCATGGTTTACCTCTGTGGTGTCAGGTAGAGCCGTGTCCAACATGGTGAGGACGGTCAGATAGGTGCCCAGGTAAGGAACCACTCCACTTGAGGTACTCTGTAAACAAGCCAGGTGTAGAAACCCATTAAAGTTACAGCAGCAGGTTTATTCCCCCTTTACTTTTACTCTAAAACCAGTTTACTCTTTTTTTTTTTCTTTCCATGGGCTTGTTTCACAGTGACAGATCTAAACATGACAATGTTCACACCAGGACTGAAGGCAGTCAGCGGAACCTCTCATATTACCACCCAGAAGAATGTGGTCAGGACCCCATGAAAACCCCCCGTCTGGTCTATTATTACTGACCTATAATCCTATTGACCGGACGCCATTTGAAACCCGCTCAGCGCCGAGCGGAGCTAAAAATAGTTTTGGGTTCCAGTTGCGTTCCAGAGAGGGAAATCAACCCTGGCGGGGCTCTTTCAGAGGCGTGGAGTATGAGGGGGATTTGCATGAATCTTCTGCCTCATATGAAAATGACTCAAAGGTGAAAGGCCAAGTGATATGGAGCACCGGCTTAATCGGGCTCTCTCTCTTTTTTGTTTTTTCTTTATTTGTATTTAGGTATAGCTTACCATCTGCCGGGGGAGTTGACACTTCTTGCTTAACTTTGGAGAAACATTATCCACATTGGCTTGGCTTCCGTCCTGTTGATGACAATCAAAGCTGTGCTCAGTTTGCAGTTCCACTGGCAAAAGGAAGAGCTTTTAATCACACATTAGCCTGAACATCCTGTTTAACAGTTAATTGTTAGGTTCTTCTTTTTTTCTCCAAAAGGATTGAAGTCCATTTCCAATGTACCTGAGCGTTTTTATCCATAAGCAAATAGGCTTAGGTTTGGAATACATATGAATGCCAGTGTTTACATAGATAAGAGGTCTGCCTGAAAAATGGTATTGTGGGGCAACAAACGCTAGCTGTTTAGCTGCTGGGTACAGAAAGAGCAAGGGATCTGATGACTTTAGGGTTCTTTATTGGAGCTGGACAAAAGACGTCTGTGACGCAGCTCCCTAAAGAAAGTCACGGAGAGAAGAGTGAGACGGGAACATGATGTCCTCGAGGCCCCTTGTTTGCTATTCATAATCATTTCTGCAAACATTAACTCAAAAGGGAATCTTTTTAAAGATTAAAAGAGTGGCATTGGTGTTCAAGGAGACAATCTTTGCACCTTGTTCATGAGCTAACGTTCTGTTTTTTTTTTTGTCTGTTCAAGATCCAAATCTGTAATGCTAGGTTCTTTTTTTTAATATGAAACCAATTAATATTTTATCAAAATTCTGTATGGGGGCAAATTGTAATCGGCAGGTCATGATTTTTAAAGAGCGACCAGAAAACTGCAATTGCTGCACTCCAAATATTAAGGATTTGTACCTTACTTAACATTCGACATGTACTGGTTACTGGTACTAAGGCATGCTAATGTTTTAAAAAGTTCATATTTTAAAATTTATACTGTTATACATTGAACAGTTTAACGTCTTGACCTTGAATTTTGAATACTGTAATAGCCAGAAAGCGGTACAACACTGCCGATCAGATGGCTGAAAGAAGGTTACTGCAGTTTATCACAGGCTAACAAGAAATTGGGAATAGTTCTGTTTGCCAAAATACATGTTGAATCGTGATGGGGGAACCAAGAGAGCACCAGCATTAAGAAGGAATAACCGTGACTTTTCTATTATTAGTTGTCTTCCACTGTTTTAAACCATATTTTTGCGTTTTTAGATAAAAGTGTTTCAGTAAAAATGATAAAACATCATATTTTTTTCAACCATAGTTAACGCGATTGAGAATCTTTATTAAACGGGGTCTGTCCACTTAAGGGAAGGTTTAGGTTGAGGTCCGTTTTTGGCTGATATCAATTTTTCTTTGGTCTGAAAAGTCAAAGTTGCTAGTTTGTCTGCCCACTTGCTGACATTAAAAGGGACAATAGTTGATTTTCAGTCCTTTGTGGACGTTGCTAAGATCAGTTACTCATGGCCAATAACTGATCTACCAAAATTAAGGAGCTCTGGGACAATTTATTGGTATACCAGCAGTGCTGATCTTCATGAGTTGGGTATGTGAGGGTTAACTCTGCAAACATGTCTTTTTCTCACCTCCACCAGGAGCTCTCTGTTGGTCAGAACACAGTTCTCGTCCGGGAACGTCTCCCAGAGATTATCGAACGTGGCAGTGCTGTCTCTGCAAACAGGGACCAAGATGACATGAAGACGACAGCTGCGGGTTGTTCCAATATTATCCACAGTAAGCATTTTTAAAGCTTTCCAAAGTTTAACTTGTTTGCACGGTAAGCATTTTAGGTGAAGCTTAGCACCAAACTAATGAGCTTTTAACTCAGTTCACGACCCGAGCTAAAATATGGGTCATGAACCAAAGGAGACGTTTGCTGACTCGCCCAATCAAGTTTCACAGAATTGCACCCATTAGCAGGTTGATGTCCTTGTTAAGAGGCCGTTATGTAGAGAAAACCTATTTACGACCTTGGAGACGGGCCAAAGAGTGCGGCCTTTGAAATGAAATAAAGTACATAGATGATCAAAAACCCCACCTGCTGACGGCTGCCCAGGTCTTCCTCAGCCTGTAGACGGCATTCGAGTGCAGGGCAGAAAGGATCGCCTTGAGGGAGGAGAAGTTCTTCAAGCGACGACATTCCTGCAGAACAAAACAGACTCTCGTCATTTCAATGTTTCTCCAGTTCTATGCTAACCAGGTTGGTATGAGATCTTCAAAGTGTGATGCACTTTTGAGAAAACATGCAAAGGTTCCAAGGTGCTATACCCTATTGTTATTCTTAGTCGTTCTAGACCAAGAAGTGTAGCCAATTGATCCACCTGCAGTCTGCTGCTGAACAGATGAGCCACTCCAACAGCAGATATTTTTCCAAAAAGTTGCACTACAAAACACACATGATGTCTCTGGACAACAGAAACAAAAAGAAAAAACTACCACCGCACTCACAGGTGTTTGCATGTTACATTCGATAACTGTGTATTTTTACTTCTTAGCATAATTTATAGTGTTGTACGCTTAATGTAGGAGCCCTACACTGCCCCCTAAAGTCTAGGAGAATATGGGTTACAGTGAGGATGAGCCACACGGAGTATAAATTAGTGTTGGCCTGATTCCGAGCTTCTATTTTCAAGAGTTAAGCATAAACCAAGTTTACCAACTATACATAATGACTAATGAAGTTACTAGAACCCACCTGTGCCACTTTGATCCACTTCTCAATGACGCGCGCCCTCTGGGCTGGAGTTGTAGGAGGCGACCCAGAGGAGCCGTTAGCTGGTTCTGCAGACTGGGAGAGCAGCGACACGATAACCCTGTTGGTCAACGCGTTGAACTGCGCGATGGTGGCTCGGATGGTGGGAGACATGTTTTCCTTCTTATCTCTCTGGGACCACACACAGCCCAGACACTGGTAGGGCACCACTTTGACAAACAGGGCCTGGAAAGGTCAAGGAAGCCCACCGTCAGCCTTTAAAGCATCAGATATGAGCAATATTTAATAATGAGACATGAAAAATATCCAGTGACGCACAGAGTCCATTTGAGTGAGCTGCTCAGCGATGGCTGAGGCGGAGAAATCCATGATGCTGCCCTGATCCAGAGAGGTTTCACATCCTGAATCCTCACTGGCAGACTCTTCCTCCCCTTGGTCAAGACCAGCAGCATTCGACAATGCTCCTGAAATAAAAGAAAAAAGAAAAAAAAAAAAAAACACAGTTACTAGTGGGAACTTAACATGTTTCCCACCACAATTACTGTCAAGAAGACCAACTATGTCGTCGTAGTCAAAGGAAAAGTTGTGGAATAAAAAGGTCACCTCCATCTTTCTGGAACTTTCTGAGCAGCTCCTCGGCTTGTCCAGCCAGTGAGCAGAAGTTCGGCTGGCTGCGCATGCCGCCTTGCACGGCGGAGCTGATCCTCAGGTGATCCAGCAGCAGGTGGAGAGCCGGGTGCAGCGGAGGGTCCCTGAAGTCCTCGCTGTACTCATCCAACCACGTCTGGATGAAGGTCAACAGGAGGCTGGAGAGAGAGAGAGAGAGCAGAGCGCTGGAGGGAAACTTTACCAACCACGGAAAAACCACAACAAACCTCAAACTGGGACATTTTCCACCCACCTCCTGCAGTAACCCGCGTTGTCCACATCTGAAGAGACGCTGTCCCTGTAAGCAAATTTTAAAAAATCAAAAGTCAGCTTCTTTCTTTCCGTCTTCTAAAATCTTTTGATTATTATTTGCACCCGCCTACTCCCCAACGTTAAACCCAGGCAACGCATAATGGCTGTTGTTGGGAGCTTCCAGCTAATGAGCACCTGCTCGGCACAGATCACATCAAAGCCGGGACGAGAGGCTCTCTTTATCGGTGGGAACATCAAACACCAGGCTCCTTTCAAAACATGGGGACTGGGCATGAATAAACACAAGAGGTTTTGTTTTTCCCAGACTGATTTATGCTTTTCTTTTGTCCTGGAAAATAAACTGACATATTGGTTCCTAGGAGCATTCATACCCTTTGAAAGGTTTTTTTTTATTTTTGTCTCTATTAGACTTTATACAATTAGAACCTGAAGTAGAGGTGCAGTGATTTTGTTTAGCCAGCCGATCGTTTGGTACCGACTTCCTTAATTTTGAGTGATGGGCGGATACCAGCATGTGAATACTTGCCAACTTGATGACTCTTTCGCTACATTTAGCAAAAATAAATAAATAAAACAAAATAATAATAATAATAATAATAATAAAAAATTTTCTTAAATAAGAAAAACAATCTGTGATCAACCAAAATACTGTGATCGGTGCGAAACCAGAAGGTTTCATCCCTTTTTTAGAGAAAATTAGCTCAAACTCAGACAGACTGGATGAAGAACATCTGTGAACATCATTTTACAAGTACTGTCACAGATTCTGCAATGGATTAAAACTTTGACTAGGCCATTTTGACACAAAACCGTCAATCTAAATCATTCCATTTTTTCCCCCACTGTATTGGTGTTGTTGCACTGGTGGAAAAATACTTGGTGAGATTTTGTTTTTCCAGTGCATGTGTGTGTGTACAGAACTTTAAGTTTGTTTTGCTAAAAAAATATCACTGGAAAAGTTTTCTTTTTAACTCTATATCTCCAAACTTGAGATGGAAAACCAAGTTTTTGCCGTCTTTCTATCGCCGTCCGCACAAAATGCTTTGAATGGGCCGTACTTTTTACACCTCTGATGTTGACCACACAGAAGCCAAAAGACCAGATGAAAACAGACAGTAGCCAGCTCGGAGTGGTACAAAGGAGGCAGTTGTACCTCTGGAAGAGCAGCTCTACGAGCGCCGTGGTGCTGGTGTAGGTCCGGTAGGTGGAGAGGAAGATCCGGCTGTAGTCCGGATCCTGGCTGCTGCTGCTGTCCAGCAGGTGACTTATGAGCAAGTCCAGGGTGGCGGCCTTCAGACGCCGCACCTTGCAGGTCCGGTACTGGACAAAACCGCAGCAGGAGCTCGTCTCGCTGGGGCCGGGCGAGGACGGGTCCGGCTCCCGGCGCAGCGTCACCCCGTACACCACGCCGTCCTCCTTCTCCTCACCCCACTCCTGCACTGGATTCTGGAGAAAAACAAATAAACAAAAAAAACAATCAAGTTGGGGGAGGAGGGGATGACTGTCAGGAATATAAAAACTAAAAGGTACAGAGTAACATGTTCAAATATAGATCAAGTTATGTTTGCAGTTACAACAGAAGGGTCAGAGGGTGAGCTCAGCAAACAAGAAATAGTCACAAGCAATCCTGGCCACACAAACAGGTGACACAGCAGCCCACTGAGTCTTAACATTGATCCCTCGCAAAGCCGCAGCAACAAGGTAATATTTACATCTGCTAATAGTCATCATCTACAGCGACGGCACAAACAGGCTGGCGTGTGATGATGACAACAATTATTTCAGATCTAGCTGATTCAGATACCGATGCAGAATAATAACATAATGGTGTGTCTGTTTGGGGGTTGTTGGGGTTTTTTTTTAACAACTTCCTTGCAGCTCTGATCTTTCCAAGAATCTTATAGCTAAACATCAGTGTTTATGGACAAACAAAGGAAAATCAAGAGGTTGGCACATCAACTTGGGGAGGGGGGAAAAATTTCCAGTGTATTCAATCCTTTTAGCACACTATATATCTGCAGGTGTTGACAACAGCGGGAGTCGTTGCTTTTAGATTTAAATCCTCTTTTCATAAAATGAAAACAAAGGGTTAGACTTTGCTTTCTGTTAGAGCTTTCTGTTTGGTTTTACGGCCAAAGCCAAAGTCAGAGCAGAGTTTCCAAAAGCGCGCCTGGAATGACACTGGAGAACCGGTTTAATCAGATGAGCGCCCGAGTCAGGCCACCAGCTTATCACACTGTAACATGAAAACAGCTGCATCGCCATCAAATAAGCTATTTTTCCATAAACTGTAGGAACCAATTTAGAATTTTTAAAGTTCACTTAAAAATGTCAACATAAGCTACTTGATTTAGGTAACAAATCCTACCTGAAATAAAAATATATATATTAAAAATGTGTTCTAATTAACAAAATTTGCCTAGCTACAGTTTTAGCTAGTTTAGCAATAGCACTATGTAGCTAAAACATAAACAGAAAACAAGTCAAGTTGCAGCATCTGAAATACAGTTTCGCAAAAACAATATTCAAAGAATCTATTATTAGGCACTGCATATTGCTACAGAAATCAGAAGGTATGATTTGGTCCACAAGAGTTGGTGTCATTTATATGTTGACATTACATTTAACTCAAAGTAGCGATAAGTTTTTACAGTATTAGGTTGTACGTTTTTCTTCCAAAATACCCAAAGATTGGAGCTAATTTGCTAATTTAAAAGCAGCTGCCCACAAACAGCTGACATCTGCTAATACTTGAGACTCCTTCTAAAATCGATTAGAACTGCCCATTTTAAAATTTCATTAAAATGCATTGTGGAAACCATCTTAGCACAACCACAAGAGCTAATGTCTACAGTTGTCCTCATTTCTACTCGTATGGATGCTGCCAATCAGCAGCCAGGAAAATGAACAGCCCTCCTGAATTGGCTGCATTGCAAACCGATAGAGTGGTAACAATGCAGCTAAGAAGTTTTCAATTTTTAAAAATCTGATTTTTTTTTTAGTTGAACTGTAAAAATAAAAATCTGTGAATTGCCAAACCTTTAACAAATAATTCAAAGTAGAGTTAAACAAACAAACAAACAAAAATTTGAATAAATGAATCTGAAAATACCCAACTATGAATTGGTGGTTTGCAGACAAATGAACAACGTCATAGGAATATTTATAGGTTAATCTCCATGGTAACAGAGTAGGACAGATCCTGTCTGCTGCCCACGTCTTTGCTAGGATCACATTTCATTTGAAATGCTGAGCTCACAAAAAGAATTGAGACAAAAACAATGACCTCTGTATACGTTTCACTTTTCAGGCTCGTCTCAATCTGAAATGCCAAAAGTGAACACAAAAGGAAAGAAATTCTCTTATTGTGTCTGCAATTAGAATTAATGTTTCAAAAAACTTTCAGCACTTGTGCCGCCCCCGATAACATTTCACCCGGAGCGGTGAGCCACAATGTCCATGTTAAAAAACGGCACTGTTGATTGAAAACACAACCTCTTCTCCCTAGTTCTACTGTATGTACAGTTATTTTATGATTTATAATAAAATAGTGTATCCCATATAGCATTGACTGAAGTTAACAACAAAATAATATCTGCTAGAAATCAACAAATGTGCAAAAGAAAGCATGAACAATATTAAGAAAAACACATTAATGGTCCTTTGGGTGGTTGCTATGAACCTAGCAACCAGCCAAAGGTTGCTAGGTTATGAACTTAACTAAATGTGGTCCTCTAATTCTACACAGAGCCCTTTTGAATGGTAAGAAAATAACATTATTACCATTCAAAAAATTATGTAGACCCCCCCTCAGACAGCAGGCAACTTGCTGTGACACCTGATATGTGACGTTTCCAGCCAAACTCACCATGGTCAGCTCCCATTTTCCCATCTTGTCCGCTCTGCTTACGAAGCGCGGCTCTTCATCTTGACAGCAACTTCAGGTAAAGTTAACTTCCAACTAGCCAAGCAAAAAAAAAAAATTTAAAAATCCGTGTGAGTCTTCCTTTTTCCAACAACTTTACAGCCAAAAACATTGGTCCCGTCGCGAGCTACCTTCACGCGCTTGTCTTGAAATGTTGAAGAGGTTTTAGATACATTTTTGCAGCTGGATATTTTAAAGAGTCGGGCTGGTTTCTCTTGCCTTTGCCTGCGGTTGGTGCCCGAGTATCTTTGGAGCTGTCCCAGCCTGTCCGCCAGCACCGACACCGACTCACAGACTCTCCCTCGGTGACAGGAGACGGGAAAGAAACCCGACCGTCCTTATGTGGGCGGCGGCGGCTCTCCCGGGCCTGAGGGGAGGAGGTGTGTCCCCGTCATGCCTGTCTGCTCTGTGTGTGCGTCAAAAGTCCTTTCGCTTCTAGTCAACCACTGTTATTTTATCGATCTAGTTACTCTTTAAGTTTTAATTATTCTATTGCGCTATTTTAGAATTAATTAGCTTTGTTTTATTAAAAAAAAAAAAAACAGCACACAGCAGTGGCCTACTTAAAATCTTACTTAAATCCAATGAAAATGGTGTGGTGTGACCTTAAATGTGACTTTAATAGCTATTTTCCTCCAAGAGTTTCATCGCTTTTTATATGATACTGTAGGTCCAGCAGTTTTATCCAGTTCAATTCAATTCAGTTCAATTCAATTCCATTCATTTCAGTTCAGTTCAGTTCAATTCAATAAAACTTTATTTGTCTGTAAGGGGCAATATAAAAGCACAGTGAAGCATCACAAATATTAACACAATCACTTAAAACACAATGACATACAAACATAAGCCTAAAATCAAAGAACAAACAGAAAAGAAACACCATGTCAAGTCTCTCTAATTGTTGTGGTTTTACTTTATTTATTTATTTTTATATGCCACCAGATGACTGAATCAGTTGAAGGATGCTCACATAACCAAATGTTTGACTTTCAGCCTCATGATGACTAAACACAGAGAGCATGAAAAACCCTCATGAGAGGAGAAAATGCGTATGACTGTCAGATAAAGTTGATGTTTCACACTGATGCTAAGACAGCATCTCACATCTGAGGAACTGCAGATTCCTCCTGAAGAAATCGTACTAGTTCCTTCAGATAAGTTAGAGTTCGATAAAATGTTGATAGGTCACCTTGTTCGTGATCAAATGTGTTTATTGTTCCAAGCCAGGTTCCCTCAGTGTGGCCACCATCATGTCCGTTCTACCAGGAAAGAAACACACTCCTCTGTTCTGTGAAAGATTATTTTTCTTTCATGCTTTTGGCATTTTTCTGGGCGCCAGCTGGCTGCTTTGTTTTTCTCGTTCTAATAGAAAATCCACCAACAACAGTACGGTTAGAGCACTAAGTGAATGAATATGAGTCGCTCTAGCCCTCATGCGTATAATGATGCGTATATCTTTTGTGGCAACAAGAGCACTGACACGGTTAACGCGACATTCCGATCCTCTTTGTGCCTCACAGTGCAGCTCGGGTTGCAGCTAACATCCTCCCAGCATCGTCACTGGTGTGAAGACGCTGATGCTGATGCCGGGTGGGGCCCACTAAGGTTTTATTTGGCATTTCTGTTATTATCGCTACATTTCCCACGCTCTGTGTAAGCGTGACGCAGTACATGTCAATTATATATTACATTTTTTGAACATTTTGCCTCATTCCAGTCATGAACTTCAAAGTATTTTCATGGGATTTTATGCAGAAACGCAAAAGCACAAAGAGGCATGTAATTACTGAGGTGGAAGGAAAAAAAGAGTCGTAGTTATCCCCAGATTTTACAAATGTAAAACTCTGATTAGTATGGTGTGCATTTGCATTTGACCGTAAATATAATCCAGTGATTACCTTTAGAAATCACCTCACTGGTAAAGAGAGTCCACTAGTGAACAAGCATCAAAGTTAAAATGGGTAAAATTTGGTATTTTAAAGGTTTTCTACATTCTATTGTGATTATAATCACATAATCATAATCTATAGATTTGTTATGTGATCTTTTGCTTTAAATGATCATTCCAATAACAGTAATGATAATAATAAAAGAACTAAGTGAAAAAGTCCTCTACACACTTTTGCCTTAAAGTCAAGAATCCAAGTTATTTGTCCATGCAGTTTATTGCTTTAGCATCAGTTCATAATGAAATACCAAATCCAGGCCCATTGATTCTATTCAAAAATATGTTATTTATCGCAAAGGAAAATTAAATGTTGCTGTAACTCATTTCAAAAAGGAACATGTTCACAAATAGATTCGATGCTTTCTGCTGGCTAAGAATGCAGACGTGGGAATGACGCGACACCTGAGTTATGTTGTACCTTCAGTGATTACTGTGTGTTTTACACACAATCATGTTGGATATTGAACTAAGTTAAAAAAAAGAAATCTAGTTTCTGGCAAAGAAAGATAAATTTCTTTTGGTCAGGAAGGTTTTGTAACAAGTTTTGTAGCGCATGAGAACCTTGCTTGTTCGGTTTTCACTCTGATAATCTCAACCTTGGTCTAAACGCCCTTAAGCCGTCCTCCCTACCAGATACTGGTGGCTGTAACGTTTTCTGAAGTTCTTCTTCACAGATTTTGCTCACTTCTCACTCCTGAGAGGTGTCATAAGGAGAGATTGGCTTGGTATGTTGCAAACTATTTCTCTATTTTACTCCACCATCTTTTCATGGCAATGGAATGTAAACTCTTTGGTTGACTAGAAAGACTCATTGTTGAGGTATTCTAGCTTCATGCCCAAGTCCAACCTTTGAATGACATCTGTAAAGAACAGCTACTGCACAATACTTTTGAGAGAGAGCCTTGAAAATGACATCCCAGGTCTTTCATTTGAGCATTTTCCAAGAATAAATATACATTCTTTCGGTAATTAGTTTGGTTCCGATTGGCTTAATAGAATGCCAGGCAGGCGCTTGTCAGTGAGTCCACTGTGTCCTTGTGCATTATTGCAACGTAAAATTTATATATATATCTGGCATTTTAGACTCAGGAATTCAAAGACTTGGAAGGAAAGCTGACAAACAATAGGTTACAGCACTGAGGAATGTAGACAGACGGTTCCTTATCATTAGAGCACAAGACCCAAATACCTGTTGAAGGTCTTCACATTCATCAGCCTCATGACAAGCACTTCTTGTCATTAGCTGTGTGCTTAGAAAACTACTTCACTAAATGTCAGCAGCTAGCTTCACTGGAGCGGCTCTGAAGCAGCTGACAGCTTTTTGTTCAACACTCCAAGCTGTTTGAAAGACTTCTTCACTGTTTGGACAATAAAGCAAGATAATTCATAAAAAATTAAGAGAAAAGAAAGTGTGATTTGAGAAAGGTTTGGTCAAAACTCCTCGCTCAGTTGTCGGGTAGCTCCGTACATTTGGCACTAGACTACTGCCACTAGGTGGCACACGCATGGCACTACATATAATGTAGTTCCCAATGTAGATTATCTTTTATTTGAAAAAAACAAAAAAAAAAACAACAAAACAAACAAACTTGGAGATAAAAGAAAACATGGGAACTCAAACACTTAAGACGACTTTCTTCCAGCCACTCCTTCACAAAGACCGGATACGTATCGCCCAACTTATAGTCATTGACTCACCGTCATGAGGTCTTCACGAATCGATGACTTTTTTTGACTTTTTATTTTATTTTTTTAAGTTCTGCATTAATTTACCTCTTATCTGAAAGTTGACTTAGTTATAAAGCAGCGTTTGCTTTTGCATTTTCGTTATGTTAAAAGGACCTAAAATTTGTTGGTGTCAAAAACATTTCCATCAGTTTTTTTTTTTGCTTTGTTTTAAATATGTTTTAATTGCCCCATGCCTTACCATTAAAACAGCCTAGTTATGGTTTCTTAATGACTTCACCTACCTCTCTTTACCTTCTAAAATAGGATTTCTGCTAATTTAAGACTTTTTACAACTAAGATTTACTACAGAAATGTACAGAAGAAAATTTGGATATTTTCTTCTATACATGCTCTCTACAATGGCGACGACAAACGCCTTCCAGTCAACCTGGCAATAAATTTGCACTTATGACACAAAAAACCTTAGCTAGCTAGCAGGGGTATATTAGCAGCTTGTTCTCGATCACTTGAGGTACAGAAAGCACTGAAGGTCTGTACTCGACTAAAACCTTTGTCTGACTGAAAGTCCAGAGAGAAAACAAAAACAAACAAACAAAAAAAGAATATTCTACATTAAATGGTCATGCCATGACAAAATTTAAGACCTGTGATTAACCCATTTAAGGCCAAGTTAAAAAAAAAAAAAAAAAAAAGGAATTTAAGAACTTGTCAGGCTTTAATTTTAGGTGTGCAAATTTATGACCATGGATGCGTGGACAATGTAAAACTTTGGTGACATTTATTTAATGCAGTACAAACATACTACTGGCACAGAGACAGAATATATGGACTGTACAATTAAAGCCAGTGATGCAGAGGCAGCTGTGAATGACTCCAATGATATCTGGGATAGTTTTTTTTTTTAATGTATAAAAACAGTTTTATTTTTAAACAAATACAGCATATGTCCCAAATACAAACCCGCACATTTATGTAAACTGTGCTTTTGTATCCAATAAAACCCTTCCCATAATGTAAAGTGTAGAGGAGGCCTCTGTCTGGCAGTGTGATGGCTTTAGTAACATCAAGTACTAAAATAAGATTACACATGAAGTTGTAAAAGCACTTTAAACATCAAGAAGTTACCGTGTACCTTCATATAGCAACATAAAACATGCTCAAGAAAATTTGCATGATTAAAAAATATTCTTAAAAACATGCAAAACAAAAGAAACCGATTATATCAAAGACTTTAAAATTCACTTAACTGGAAAACCCAGGAAGCTAGGAAAACACGGACATGATGGTGTGTGATGCAGACAGACGCTCCGAACCATTACGAAGTAAATACATCTGACATGAGAGGACGTCACGCAAATCCTGATGATCCAGGGACTTTCTTATCTTTGGCAAAGTGTTCCTGAAAGCCACAGTCTCTTAGTTAACGGACTGGTCTCACATGGAGCTGTACAGTTTGATCAAAGGTTCTACTCCCCTCCTTTGGTCTTGTTCTTCTTATTTAGGATCTTGAGGAGGCTGTCAGGCATCATGTATGGCCTTTCAGAACTCCCATCATTCCTCTCCAGGTCCTCCACTGAAAAAGATTTTGTTAAAACTAATCAAGCAGCTGAATCGTTTTAACCAAGCGTAAAAGTTCAAAAAGTATAGGGAGGGAGAAGTTTCAGAGACAAAAGCTTGTTTGTTTAATAGGAAAAAAAGGCATCCAGCTTTAATAGTTCAAACAGAAACATGCAGTCAGAGACATTTTCAATTCATTCTTCATCTCAGTGAACTGTTCATATGGATGAGGAAACTTTTCCACCAAGAATATGCTTGGAAGAGTTATCAAATATCTACAACCTAGAAAATAAAAAGCATAAACGTTGCTTCGTCTTGGAAGTGTCGGTAGCAGCTGCGTTTCCATTACAAATCTCAAAACTCTGTTAATATTCTGCTAATGTCAAAAACGCCCCAGAAATTTTGTAGTTGCAGTGTTTCAGTTAAATAAGAAAAGCAATTAAAATCCTATGTGAATACCTTTGTTCACATGATAATTAAAAACATGCCATGATTCTCCTATCACTTCCTGTCTTTCTGGTTTGCACCAATTGCAACGTCTGGTTATTGATCATGTGACTCGTGTAATGCAAAGAAAGTGTTCCAATTACAGTTTTGGGAAATAAACCAAAACTGAATTCTAACAAACTTTTCATCAAAAAACAATAATTTTTCCAAAATTGTCACGTTTCCATGAAGCAGCTTTAATTTCAAAGTGTTAAATTGCGCAATTATATGGTCAATGGAACGCAGCTACAGATGGAGTAAAATAAAATATGGCTTAGTGTTTAAATAAAGTGCAGGATTATGTAGTTTTTTGGACATTAGTTTTAAAGCTAACTAATGTTTTATAGTTTTAATAGAAATGGAGGACCAGAGGCACAACATGGCCGTCAAGTTTCCACTGGTTGCAGAAGCAACCATTTAAGAAGGCAAAAGTGTCAAAATGGCAGCCAGATTTCCCACTGGTTTAACTGAGGAGATGAACACTATCCCCAAAGAAGAAAAGGTCACTGCTGTGCTACTGCACATTGAAAGCAAACGCTTCAGATTAGAATCAAATCCTGTCAGAAATCATTCACTTTGTAGACTTTTGAACATTTTACAAAAGTACTCAAACGGTAATGCATTGACCAAATTTCTCATTGCTGAATAAGCAACGGAAACGTCAACTGCTGAGCGGTGAGAACCACTCATGAGGTTTGGTCTTTACCAAACCAAGCAAGTAAAATGGTGCTGAATTATTCCTAATTTATTTTAATGAAAGTTGCATTTTAGTTTTACATGTTAGACCAAGCTTGTGAAGCTACTGGTGTATTCAAGTGTGCTGTACTCGTCCACTTGGTTTAAAAAAAAAAAAAAAAAATTAAGTCAATTCAGCACCATTTTTCTGTATCGGATCAGTATCTGCGGAACTAATCAGATATGGCGATACCTGTATTTGTATCGGATGCTTTACATTTAATCATCATCTTAAGTTTTCTAATATTAATAAAAAGGAAGCTTTTCGACGGCTATTCATAACTAAATGGTTCCATTTAAGGCAATTTGTCGCATTGTTCGTCAATGTTTCTGCTCCTCAGAAAAAAGGATCACCACACTTCTTTGTTGTACTTCTAATTCAGCACAAAGTCCTCATCTCTAAAGTTTGTCCTTCTGGGGATTTCTCAGCCTGCCGTCTTCATCCTGTGGCTGCAGTGCAGGAGAGGCGCTCGGATCTGCCACCTCGCCCTTCCACAGAATCTCCCGGATAGTTGTTGACATGTAATAAGGCCTCGCAGGTGAGCCGTCATTGCGTTCCAGGTCTTCACCTTGATGCATGTGTGTATGTGTGTGTGTGTGTGTTAAATGATGTAGTAGAAGATTAGTAGATTGAGAAATAGCAGGATTAAGAGAAATGGAAGTGAGAGAGGGGGAAGAGGAGAGACAAAAACAGAGAGAGAAAGTCAAATGCCAAGCAGAAGCACCCAAAGACATTGCAGATTTTGAAAATTAAAAGTTCATCACCGAGCAGCCACAACTTTCAGGTAATACAGAACAAATTAGCCAAGCTTTTATATGTTGCAGTCATGCAGAAACGTGGCTGTTGTACACCGTATTAAAAGTATTTAAGAATTAGTGAAAGCACCAAACCCAAGAGCAAAGTCGTGAAAAGCCAGTTGCTCGATCTCAGTGACTGTGTAAACAATATACCACCGTGATGACTTACAGAAGCAGAGGAACAGCGTGTCCACACACATGTCGTATACGCTGAAGAACCCGTGGGCGATGAGATACGAGCCAATCACCACAGTCTGGATGGGGAAACATGAGCCATGGGCCGTCATTCACAGTACAAACACACAGCCAGGTTCAAGACGAGGAATGAAACCCAACTCAACAGCAAACTCGACTTGTTCCTGAACAGATTCAACCTTGAAAACTGATCTTTTTTTTTTTTTAAAAGCGAGTTGCTCACCAGGATTGGCACCCAGTAATAGTGGAGGTTGGGCGCTGTATTCTCAAATGCTTTCACTCTTCCAGAGAAGAAAAAGAAGGCAAAGACCCCTGAGAAGAAAAACAGTAAATTCAGTAACACTCGTTCTTAACTGCAAAAATGCTGCAAAAAAACTAGTGGTTCTGTTTGTGTTGCGAAGACTGATTTTGTGCATCACTTTTAAAAGCAACACCAACTCACCCACAAGCCCAACGACGAGCAGTTTTCCCAAAAATAACAGGAAGTCCGTCACCTTATCTACGACAGCGACCCTGCAGGATGAAACAGGTTATTAAGACAAAAGAAATAAAATAAAAAGTTCACACCATGAGGTGGAGTTTACAATTACCTGAGCAGGTTTCTCGCAAGGAGATTGAGGGCACTGATTGCAGAGGCGCAAAAGTTTTTGCCATGGACCGCCACCTAGAGGCCAAACATGCACATAAACAACAGGAGGGGAAAAGATGTTGATTCAGTAAATGACGCCAAAGCTGTTTGTAATACAAAGAACAAATCTTGGCTTAGTCTCAAGTCATCAAAATGGAAGAGATTTGCAAACATTTGCTTTTGCTGATGTTGGGTTTAGCTAGAGGTAAACTTTTTGCTAGCTTCTTGAATCCTAAAACGGTAATTCCCAGACAATGTTTGTTAAAAAAAAAAAAAAAAAAAAAAAAAAAAAAAAAACAGAAGAAGAATTTGTACCCCGACACAATTTAGGGGTTATGCAGAAAAAACTTAATATTTCCGTTAGGGATGCACAGAAAAAATCTAACAATTTTAAGCTTCTGAGGTTAATCCACAAAATGGTGTCATGGATTTCACAGTTACTAACTAAAACTGGGATTTTAACTTGTTAAGTTTGATTAATTACATTGATTTTACTGTGCTGACCAAAATAAAAAAAAATACACAAAAGTCCTGAGCTGGAGCCTTTGCTCCACAATCTGCAATGTGCGTGATTAAGAATCTTATTCAAGTCCCACCACTATTGGTAACATTTCCACTCATCCTATCCATTGACATTTGTGAAATCCTTAATTGCAGAGCTGAGCAACACTGGATGTTGCTCCTTCTCACACACAGTGTGACAATGCCTCTAGTCCTAATTAAGAATCAATAGGAGAAAGGTTTCGTAAGGCTCCTGTATAGTTACCGTAAATAATAAAAAAAAAAAAAATAACAGCACAGCAGATCAAAGATTTTCTCTTCATTTTTTAAACTTTTTATTTTTTATAATATAACATTTAATAAATAACTAAGGTCTGCATAAAAGGTGGTCAGCAAACTCTAATGTATGACCTTCAACATATATCTTCACCAAACACACACCATAATGTAGGCGTTTCTGTTCATGAACTTGATGAATTTCTCCAAACACCAGAAGCAGCACTTCAGACAGCACAGCAGGAACTTTGCAAATTTGTTTTCGGCTCCTATGAATGACAAATTCAAGAGACAAATCTAAACCCAAAGCAACTTAGAAACCACTTCAAGGACATGTCACAGTCTCAGCGACAAAAACATGGGGCTCCACAGAGAAACACACCTTTCAGCTTGTGGTCCAAATATTCCAGCAGAACTCTGATGATCTGAACGATTGATAGGATTAGAGAACCAAACGCCAGAGACCCTGTGTGATACCTGGCGGGAAGAAAGGAGGAGGAAAATAAAGCAAATATTAGTGCTTAATAGTAAGAGTGCATCGATTGCACTTTTCAGACCAATCAGTTTAAAAAAAAAAACAAAAAAAAAACTGACGTGTTTTTTCTAATTTAGGAAATTTTCTTTTTTCCAAAAAGTCGCCAAGTAGTGCAAAAAAAAGTTGTCAAGTTGGGGTAACTATTGTTAACTGTGTAGGTGCAGATGTGACCTGGTGGTAGATGTGGCTAGAGTAGCCAAAAACTGTACCCAAGTAAGAGTAGCACAACTTCAACATATTTTACTTGAGTAAAAATAAACATCCATGAAATTACTCAAAAATGAAAAGGTGTTTGGTAAAAAAGGAGTAAGAAAGTACTGAGTAACTAATCAAAAGATCACTAATTTAAAAAAAAATGCCATCAGATGGAATAAAGTATTTTATAGATCAAATGTACCTTAGAGATCTCCCCATGGCGGAAAACACCGGGAAGGTGGGAATGTCGCCTGGCTTGGAGAAGGCCCAGTAGTAGGAGGCGAAAGCCCCAGCTAAAGACATCTGTCCCAGAGCGATGACGAAGTTGGCGCACCAGAAGAAGAGGAAGACATTGTAGAACTGCAGGGCAATCAGGTACTTGTGGTAAACCGTTTCTCCGCCGTAGTAGGCAAAATTGCACTGTGAATCCGGGCACTCCGCTTTCATCTTACTTGTGGAATAGTTCTGAAAAACAGAGGTAGGAGTGACCGCATCAGTAGGATCTAGAAGATTTAGCACCAAGCTGCTGTGGCAGCTTTTTAAAAGAACTGGAAAGAGATTAAATGGAAAACTCACAGCAGGATCACAAGAGTTTCCAGAGTGCACACAATTGAACTGACTGACCACTTTGTAGATGGCATCGTTGGAAGTGGACAAGAAGCTGCTCTGTCAAGGTAAATGCAACGATAGACCGAAGCTTACTGCTGGCCTGTCGGGGGATCAAACCTCCAAACACCAGCATTTTAACGTGAAGGATACTTTATGAAACAATGAACCATCATTGGGTCAATATTCACACAGAGTCTAATTATTATTTATAAGGATAAAGGAGGTCATAAATGATCTTCCTGTGGGAATCACACACGGAGAACAGAACAAAGTCTGACTTGATGGTAAACTAATGATGGAAAGACGGCAACTGTGAAAAACTCAACTTTCAATTGAAAGTTTTGGCACTAGGGTGAGGTGGGGTTCGTTTTTTGGCCATATTGAAATTGGTTTACTTGGCAAAACTGCAATGGAAACACTTTTGACATCACAAGAGTCACATTATCAACAACTGGATGTTGCCGCTGGCAGAAACCATGAAGAAGCAAACAGGAAGTAGCTGGAGGTTGATGGCGCGGCATGTTTTTTAACGAATCATCGAATTTATACATGTGTGATTTTAATTGCATTTCTTATTTAATGGAAATTGTGTTTTATCAACATTAGCAGATGCGCACGTTTGTAATGGAAACGCAGCTTATGTTTACATTATTTTTTCCTTTTTACAGCCATCTGGACTCGATGCACTTAACATGCTCTGTTTTCAGTATGTTGTTCAGAGGAAGATCCCTCCCACCTCCATGTTCAGTCTAAATAAAGATGAGCTTCTGTGTAAATGTGTTAAGAGGTAAAATGTTCATTTATTCTTTGTTTTGTTTAGTGCTCTTTGTAAAAGACTTTGGCTTTTTTTTTTGTAAAGGTCTACATAATTCAATACATTTAAATGAAACGGCACAAAAACAACAAAGCACTGGGATTAGATGGTAGAAATCTAACTTTAGCCATTCAGCTTCTCATAACATAAGTCTAAACTTTTGTTTTTTGCTTAAATCATCTTTTTGCAAAAATAACTTGGGTAATTAATTTAGGAGGCTGCTGACATACTGCTGCTGTAAAAAAAGAAATAACAGAGGAAAAAACTAAAAATTTTACTTATTGTACAATGCCTGTTGAACTTTGTTGAAAAAGTTAGCTTTTTTCTATTGAAGACAAGTAAGGTCAGGTTATCTAGAGTCAAAGCCGTTTCTTTGCAAGGCTGCCCTCTGCTGGCTGATCAGGATCAGGCGACAGAAGGCAAGTGGTTCATTTTGCGGATTACTCCTTACTTTCAGATCAGTGCTGGTTTACTACACCTATGTGCAACTGTTTATCAAAAATATGAGACAAACAGTACAAAGTGAAGGATACACAGCAGTTACGGCCCAGTAAGCGACGACTATTGCCAGGAGCAAGAAGGTGAACAGCGGGTAAAACATGGAACACATCATATATCGAATGGCTCTGGAAAAGAAGAAGAGAAATCCAGGTTAGCATGGTCCAGGTTCTGCCAAGGCTTCAGAAAGTACCAGAGTGTTCCTGTCATGCTGTTCCTATGGCAACAGCAGAGCTTTCTCTGGTCGTTTCTCAACACTCAAGAACGTTCTTGTGTTCTTGGCAAGTACGCACCCTGCAAGAACAGCTCAAAGTCCGTTCTTGCCGAGTTCACAAGCATGCAGTTCACTAGTTCTCCAGTTGGAACAGGGTGTAGTTGATTATGTTGTCACTCAGCTAAGATCTTTCTGGGAATTTCATTAAATTGTCCAGTTTAACACAGGAATTATTTTTAAATTTATAATGGAGGAAAAAGTTTATTTCACATATGCACACAAAAAAAAAACATTAATTCTAAGTGGAAACACCTTCAAAGCATGGGCTTTAATTGTTATTTATTATTTACTTATAAATAGGCCTTTCGCGATAAATGATAAATCAATTAATCGCACGATAAATTAAACCTATCAACCTCATTTTAATTATCGGCTTTATCGTCTCTTCCTGCCTTTTTTCTTTCTCTTAATGACACTGAATGAAAAAAGGCTCCGCTCCGGTGCTCTCCACTGACCCTCCCTTCCTCATTTCCTTAGTGTAATGTCCAGTGCACATGACACGAGTTGTCGGCCCATTTCCTAAACCTGAGAGACATATTAGCCGACAGAAATCCCACGTATAATGGTTCGATTGTCCCGTGTGGTGTCCAGCCACCTGGGCACAAAATAATGGCTACAAGTCCAGTTAACTAATTTTAAAACCAGGCATTAATCAATGCTTTACTAGAATCTACCTGTGATGCATGAGGTTAAAGTCAGCGTAAAGTCCTGACTGTATGAAAATCATTATAACCTATTTATGTCACGTTAACGAAGAACAGCTGAAAACTTACCCGGTTTATCAACTGCGGTAGCAATTTGGCTCCAACTCCTCTCCTTGTCATTTCTATATTCTTTGCACGAAATGTTGAATAAATATTAATGTTGTTTCCACATATCATCTCCGATGTCGCTGGACTTTGGGTTGCACCGTTTCAGCTGTTTGGGATTCCCCTCCGTAATTTCCCCTCAGAAAGCAGGAGGAGAATCCGGCTTTCTGATTGGCTACCTGTCACATTCAGCGTTAAGCTCCCAGTCGGGGAAAACCCCTGATTTAGATCGGAGCGGCCACGACGATCTACATCACACTGCAGGATGATCGGTTACGAAATCACCAGAGACAAGCTTAGATCGGCCAACGATCTTAGATTGTCCTAAGGGGAAAATAGGGGCAAAAAAAAATCGTGTAGTGTGATCTACTGCATTGGGTAGTCGGATGTGCCCATCTTCTCTATTTAAATCTAGTGATCACTGAAGGCTTTATGTTGTTTAGTTTTTATTCAAGTACGTTTTTTGTTAATGGAGACTGAGAATCCATTTTATTTTTGTTTTTGGTTGTTTATTTAGTTCATCAGTTCCAGTGTTATGTGTTCTTTTGAAAATAAAGTGCATCTATCTATGGCAGGAAATCACATGCATTATTAGTCATTACCATTAAATCGGTGTCAAGAGGTCTTGAAACAATATTATCGTTTATCGCAATATTTTTTTTTAGACAATTAATTGTCCAGCAAAATTGTTATTGTGACAGGCCTACTTATAAAATATTTGTCTCAAAAATCAAATAATAGATGATGACCAGATCGAGTCATGCAGTCGATCGATTCGTTCCTTATTCCCCAGGTTTGCAGAAGATCCATAAGGAGGGAAAGTTAAAACAATGATTTCATATTTAATGTTTTACCAACCACCATCTGGCAGAGTTGCTGTCACACAACTGGATGATTATTTTACAACAACTACTAAACACCGATTAACTTATTTTATTATTATTATTATCATAATCAGGAATACTCTTGTAAGATTCCAGCATATAAAGAGAGAAACTATTTTATGTAGAAATGTACATTAAAATAAAAAAATAAATAGTGACCTTTCACCTATTAATGCAAATGCTAACTGTTTGTAAAGATTTCCAGTCATGTGGAAGCTGAAAGGTCAAGACATTAAAAAATATGTGATGCACGCACCATCATGTTTTTCAAAGTACCCTGATGAAATCTTACTTGCTGGCCTCTTTGATGAGAGCAATGGCAATGAGGATCCTCTTCCGCAAGAAGATGAGCAGCAGGATGATGATGACCTCCACGATGGCCAGGATGATCACTAAAACAAATCAAAGAGAGTGAGCTCATCCAAACCAAACAACAGAGAACAGGTGGAGGTTTCTAATCACTCACCGAAGGCCAGCCATGTTTGTCTGACTTGCAGGTAGATGGTGAAGTCTGTATGGAAGCCCAGCTCCTGTAGAGTCACGTTGGCGCCCGGCTCATTCTTCAGGCTGTTATACTCCATGTAGCAGTGGAAGATTCCTAAAGTAGCACATCAATTGCAAGTTGAACAGTGGGAACAGTAGAAGCTACTCCAACTGGGAGAACTACTGGCTTGGCCAGATTGTGAAGCAAAAACCACTCAATCGTTTACTGATTTCAGTAGCAGACCACATCGTACAAACCACCAGGACAGAACAACATCTTACAGTCAGAGGAAGTTTCATCAATATTAATTAGGTTAATTACAATAAAACTGAAAATATATGACATGCCCCCAGTGAGCTTAACTTTCAGGAATGTTGCTCATCTTCTGAGCATCGCTCTAAAAATCAGCCCTGTAGAACTCCACCCTGCTCCGTTTTTGGTTCTGCAATACCAATTTCTCTGATATTGTACGGTAGTCGACATGAAACAAAATGATGCCCCAGCTTCCTAAATCCACTTTGCTCAACTTTTCAAAAATGTATTCCAAAGCAGAGCCACAGAAAAACCGAATAAAATGGAGGAAAATACAATGACTGTGTGCTTCTGGCCCTTACCGTATCCTATTACAGCTATGACAGCGATGATGATGATCCAGATCATGATGCCGGCCAGGAAGCGCATGAGGACGACGAACAGCAGACTGAGCAGCATGGCGATAACCAGCCCTCTGCAGAGGAAGGCTCAAACATTAGACACAGAAACACCCACAGTGAACACAGTTGACAGTTAAAGGGGAAGTATTTCCAGGCATATAGTGTCATTTTATAACATATATATATATATATATATATATATATATATATATATATGGCATTTTATAACAAAAATGACTTCAAGAAATTTCACTTTGAGATTTAACTTCTTGAAATTGGGCCTCTGTCTCTAAGAAGCTCCTGCTCTTTCTGAAACTCCACTTTCAGGAAGTCACCGCTACATGGCTATTAAACTATTAAACCTTTAGCAATGTTTTTACCAGCGATGCACTGAGAAGCAGCTCCTCTGAGCTCAGTAGATGCACAGCTCCACCAGGTGTTTGCTAATTGCTGCTGGCTAGTCTGAAGGAGTTGAGTGGGAGAATCTCAGAGGAGGGCTGAGATTCTCCCTCCCCTGAGAGGGAGAAGCAGAATTTCGTAAAAGGCACCGCTGAGGAAGTTCATCCTCAAAGGCGGAGCTAAGTCCACCCAGATGTTCTGCACAGCTGAGTGGTTGCCACGGGAGATTAAAGGATTTCTCAAACATGCATGAAAGATTCAAGGCAACACTCCAGGTATGTTTTTGATGAGGGAATAACATAACGCAATGTAAAGCTCAAAAAAGTTGATTTTACATAATACTTTAAAGTAGAAAAGAAATAAATACATAATTAAAGAGACAAGAAGGAGAAATAGTTACTCACATAAGGATCCAGTACCAGGACTGCGTGTAATCCTCAAATATTTTCATAACCACCTGACGAGCCTCCATGACCACAGTGGCATTCCTAAGAGATTCATTTCCACAGTGTGAAACCTGATTGCTGCCATGTTTTAATAATCGTTTTTGTGGCGTTTGGGATCTGCTGTGTACTCACTTTACTCCATCCACAAGATCTTTAGCATCCCGTTGGTTTCCTTCTCCATCATCAAACGTGGTGCTGTTTCCAACAGTTACTACACCTCCTTTCAATCCCAAAGCTGGAAAGCACCTACGGGTGACTAAGGAAGAAAGAACCACACTGAGGTATATAGCAGCTCGAAAAGTTTGTCAACAAGGAATACGCTATAAAACTTTTGAATATCTTTAAAAAATATTTTAGAGTCCCATCAGAAGCATTAGTTTCAGTAGCAATTAGCTAGCTATCTAACTTTTATATAGATTTGCCCCTTACAGCCACAAACCTGAGTGTATTTTATTGGGATTTGATGCAATTAACCAAAGTAGTGCATAGAAGAAATCTGAAAGGTGTGGCCTACATTTCTATACAGTTCCCTTTACTTTGATATCTTTGAAAAAAAATCTGGTGCAATGAAGCCTTCAGACAGACAAAATCTAAACTGTGTAGTATTTTAGAAAGCTGTAGGCGGCCATTATCTTTGAATCCACAGCTGGTGAGACCAATCTCTTTGAGAAAGTCAATACACTACACACACACACAAGTAGGCATTCTGTAAATTCCTGTAAATACATGGAAAAGGTTCAGCTTTGCAGGCGCTGTGTAATTTGACCTTTTGCAGTGATCTTTTATAAAAAAACAATCAAGGACTGTAAGGGAGCTAATTTGGGACCTTGTCAGGTTATCAGGCAATAGGCTTCAGACTGACTAATATCATTTTTAATATTGCAAATCGAATGCTTTCAATTGTATGCAATTAATGCGACAGCTTCAGAAGTACAAAATCCACTAACATGACTTGCTGGGGATCAGCATAGTGGGGCAGAGTCTGTCACGAAGAATTTCTGGTAAACTCTGAAATACAGGATCAAAAACAGGCAAAGGAAGAAACAATGATTAGATTAATCTGCACTAATCTAGAGACTAAAAAATGCTACAGGAGGGGAACTCACCATTGAACTTGTCACAGTCTCCTTGCAGAAGTTTTTGTAGTAATAAAATTCTTTGTTGTTGGTATAGGCTTTGGCTAAGGTCATAAACTTGTCGGGACACTTCTCCACGCACAGCTGAGGATCAACATTTATAGTAGAAAAGTTTTGTCAAGTGCAGATAGCAGCAGGGAGGATAAAATCCAACAACAACAAAACAAAGTTGTGATGCAAAAGGAATACAAACTAGAATATCCCAGTTTCCCCAGGTCCCTAAACACAACACTGAAGAGACTGAAGATGGCCGAGTTCACACCTGTGTGGTTGGACACTGGAATGAAAGCAGCACCATGGGGCTGGCACACTTCATGATGTTGAAGTAGAACAACTTCCTCTTATTCCTGTGGGGAAAAGAACATTTTTCTGGTCGACAATATTTTATGCAACAGTTTTGGAAAAAGCTTCCAAGACTGAAAGGTAGTTTGAAGGCTTTCTTTATCTAATGCTGTTTTACAAAGCCTAAACCACAGTTTCCCACAGTGTGTTAAAATCTTAGCGGGCCACTAGGCTTTACTTACCCCTCTGCCCCATCAGGATAAGCATAGTTTGTTTATTTTAAATATGATCTTTTATACACTACATGTAGTTTCATATCTAGATTTGCTCAAAAAGTAACTCACTCGAGCGGAGTCCCAGCCTGTCCGCAGAAGTCGCCTCTACTATCTGTTGGGTAGATTGCCTTCCTTGGATCGCCCTGGGACCAGGCTGGAAGCACAAAGATTCAATGGAAATGTTTACAGCTTATAACTGGATTTCTTTTCTTTTTTTGTTTTTTAAATTCGCAAACCAGACCTCACCGAGTATTCCCACTGCAATATAGCCCAGTATAGCGATAATAAAGATGATGCAGCAGACGATATCAGTGCAGGACCTGGAGAGGAGAAAACGATGAATGAAAGCCTTCATCAGCGACACAATGAGAAATCCAACCCTGCAGTCCTGGCCTCACCTGTTCTGGATGGGTCCCTTGAAGGAGGGGTCGTGTTTGAAGGGCTCACCTGCAGGAAACAAAGACCATCCACAACATAAGCATATTAAAAGGAAGAACTGAAAGAATGAACTTAAAATAACATCCCACCAGAATTATGAAAGAGAGAAAAAGAATAATAAACAAAAAAGTTAGTGGCATCAAGGTCTATTGTGATGGTATAAATTTCCACTAAAAATCCCTCAGAAATTTTTAGATTAATCTCAGACATTTTCTTAAAAACACACACACTAAAATTTCAATTTTGTAAAAAATTGACACATGAACTGAAAGATATTTTAAATATTCAAGATAAAAAAACAACAAAAAAAGCCAAAAATAAAAGCCACACACAACCAAAACTATAAATAAAATATATTATGAAGTCTCATTAAAAAAAAGCATCAAAATCATCAAGATCATTTGAACTTATGCAATTAATTTATTGTGACAGACTTCCATACATGATATCACCATATAATCACCATGTAGCACTTTCACTAACCAACGTTAACCAGCTTATTTTAGCACCTGCCTGAGTAATTAATTTAGTGCTTATCCAGCATTTATTCATGGGTTTTTCAGTAGTTTGGTGGTTCTGAATTAACAAGAGCTAAGAATTTAACCAATTTCTGGTTTCATGGGGCTTTAAGCCAACAAACAGATTCCTGTACAAACCCATTTGCGTTTCCCACCCTGTGGAACTCCGTACAGATCGGGCTGATTTCAGGTCAGCCCACAGTGACATGAAATCAGCCTGATGTCAGTTCAGGAGAGGAACGGTCAGTTCCTCTCCACGGTGAGAGGAACTGACTGTTCCTCTCCTTTCTTCTGTCAGCTGATGTTTCCCTCCAAGCGCAACACGCCCGGCACCAACCTACTAAATTCCTTGTCGGTGACTAAGCCGGAGCAAAACCATGAGAAATCTGCCCCTGTGCTTTACTTTGACTAAACCGATCATATTTATAAGGAGTACTGAGCCAAAACTTACTTTCCATCAAACCGCTTTGACATGTATACCAAGCTATGTCCCAAAATCAGAGATATGCAAAAACTAGTTACATTTACTTGAATAAATTGGGAGAAAAAATTAATTCAACGAGTCATTTTACTGCATTATACTTTTAATTTATACTTGAGTAATACTATATTTTGAAGTGTCTAGTTACTTTACCTACCTTTGGTTACTTCACTAAATGGTTTTAACCTGAAATGCACCACACACAGAGATACACACCTAGAGTTTATGTTAAAGTGAGACTTCTTGTTTGTACACAAGCTTTCTTGCTGTAGTTTCATTTTCCTTCTCCTGAGCCTGCTGTGGTATTTGGAGGTCAAGTGAAGCTACAGTAACACGGGAGAAGTTCTCACTGGAAATACTTTGCATCTAAACTTGTCTAGCAGGTGTGAATTGGTTACATCATGTTATGAAAATGTTGGATTTGGAGAAGAATGTATTATTAACCAGGTATTTTAGTCTTAAAAATGACAGAATTTCATATTTTTGTCCGTCTAGCTGCCTTATTTTAACAACTTGAATCCGTACTTTCGTGGTCCTGTGAAATCTATAACAGATAAGCCAGAGCAGGCTCTCTTTCCTTAACCCTTGTGCGTGCGAGGACTGAGACAAACGTAGAGGACTATGGCAAATGATACAAGTTTTACATGTGTGTGGGGTCGGTTGGACCCCATTTCTACATACGAGGGTTAAATGTTTCACTTCATTTGGGCATGAACGCTTGTCTGCACTCTGGTGCAAACCAAACGGGAGAAAACATGAGTCTTGGACGGTTTGCTCGCAAGTAAACAGTAACAGTTGGCCTACAGTGGGAAAGCAAAAGGACCAACTTAAAGAAGTGAACCAGAGGAAGGAAGTGGCACATCATTACAGATATATCAGACAAATCACTGTAACAGTGTCTGTAAGAGCAGGAAAAGTCACGTCATGTCCCTCTCCTGTCTTACTGTGTGCTATTGCATTAATTTGAGGCCAAAAAAAATAATACTTAAATGTGAAGCTCATCTTATCTGCATCGTCAAAGGTCTAAAATTCAGCTGTCCTCTTCTGATCTACTGAGAAAGAAGATTGACTGATGGACCCACCCACCAGGTCATGTCTGCATGTTTGCAGTTAGCAATAGTCAGCAACTTTCTTGCAATATTTAGCAACATTTCAGACAAAAATATATATAGATATATAAATAAATTGGTATCGGGTAAAATCGGAATTGGCAAGTCGTGCTCAGCCAGAAAAGCACAATCGGTGCAGTCCTACTTTATATTTGAATTGCAGCTACATAATACAAGCCATGCTTTGTGTTAAACAGAAGTCCGTCTGACAATGAAGACATTTGTGTTTCAGAAATAAATGTAGGATTCAAAGACCCTTCTTCATAAAAACTCTGAAGGAAGACGATTAAAAAAAAAAGTAAAACTTGAAAATTATTGACATCATTATCATTTCTAGCAATAAATCAGTAGTATAAACAGTGAAGCTAAATTCATGACTTTCTATTGTATCTTCATAAAGGTCTGCATGTGTTTAGTTGAGGCAAATACAACAGCAAGCCTCCAACCACTTCATGTCAAAAAGGGCACCAGTCTCATATTTCATGTGTGCAGTCACGTCTGACATGCTGTCAAGTCAAGCTATGAGATGAATGTTTGAAATCCCATCGGAGCATTTCCAGAACGACAAGCAGAAAAAAAAAGTCAGGTCAGTATTGGAAACAGATTTGACGTCCAGCTTGCTGCTCTAACACACCTGAGCAAAAAAAAAAGCTGCTAACAGTAGCTGGCTCCGCACAAACACAAACCGAGGCTCATTCTACTTCAAAAACAAACATAACTCTGATGAACACAGATCAAACGGAGGCTTGAGGAGTCGTTACCGTGTTTTCCATAGTGTTCTTCCTCCTCGGACATGTTGAAGCTTGCTTTCAGGGCCAAGATATGCAGAAAAAGTTAACTTCTGCTCCCGCTCTGCTCCTGCCAGTGAATGAACGAGGGGAACGCAAACGGAGCACAAAACCAGTCCATCCTGTCTGAACAACCTGCAACACTCCTTCTTTTCTATTTTTCTGAAAACAAACTGCTTCCACCTCCCTGCAGGTCACCAGTCTCCACCCTTTTCCCACAGACCTCATGCTGCGCCGGGAAAATGTATAAAAGAAAAAAAAAAAAAGCACGACAAAAACACAGTTGTGCTTTACGAGCTTACGGTCACATAAGGATGATGGGAGTGGAGAACATTTTTAGGATGTGTTCAGGAAAAACGGAAAGCTCCAGCATTACATGTTTATAACCAATTAGTTTTAGGTGTGGGGTTTTGAGCCAATCACCTGCTGGTTAGGAGGTTGTGCTGCATGGTCTCCCCCTAGTGGAGACCTTTAGACACTGCATTGGAACTCAATGAGGAAAAAATCCAGAAGCTCTATTTTTTTTTAGTCGTCTTTGATGGCGACCGGATGTTTTGATCTGCTCCCTCTGTTCTGCATTTAGACCGTGTTAAACCAATCTGTTACTCAAACAACGAAAGCTCAGACGGACCAAAGTGTTGTAAATGTTTTCCTCAGATGTTGAGGGAGAGAAGGAAAGGAGGAGGAAAAAACATGAAGTGACAGAAAGTTTCCATCTGACCTGCTCCTGTTTCATGGCCAGTATTGCAGCTCTCAGCAGTGCTTTCAATGTTTCTGCTGACAGGCAAAATCTAAACTCCTATTAAGCACTACAATAAATTAAAAAGGTCGTTTTTCTCCATTTCACTCATCACTACTAAATGTAGATGATTCAATTGGAGAGAGGAAAAAAGAGAAAAACAATGAATCATGCAAATGGAAATTGAGTTTGTTTTAATTAATTATGTGATTAAATGATTTATTGCGTCACATATTAAAAGAAGAAGAGGGTTATAGGATAAACTGAACGTACTTTTGAGGTTATGTTGTGGTAAAAAATGTCTTGAATAGCAAATGCAATCAGAGATATTAGGAATATTTGGTAATATGATTTGATCTTCGTGCAAACTGTCAGTGCTTGTCAATGTAAATAAACTCAAATATCTTGGACACGCCTTATCTGCTAACAAACACATTGCTCTCCATTTCTATTTGTCACTTTGTTATCCTTTCTACATCGTCCACCAATACATTTAACTTGGTCTGACAAAGACGCTTCAAACCGCCTAAAGGAAACAAACCTGATAGCCTCAATTTTCAGTCACAAATATTTGCAACTGACAAGCATTCCTTTGATAACGTTTCTCTGGAACAACATCTAATCACATAAATAAAGTCATCAACCACTGGAATGTGCTCTCATTCCACCCCCACAGACGCAGAGCCGTTGGTGTTTGTGACATGCCGATATTCCAGGTTTGGTTTGAGTTCCGGCATCAATTCGACACATCAGAGGGCGAGGCCGTCACTGGGAAACTGCAGAGCAACCTGGTCATGTAACTAATCCCACACTCTAATTTCAAAATCCTCCTTTCGTCAGACATGTGGGATGATGTCTAATTAGAGAGCTTCAGAGCTTCAAAGGTAGAACCACAACTTTTATGATTGATGCCAGCATTGAGAAGCTTTAATCTTTTTCCATAGTGTTAGGCTGTTAACTCCAATGAAATATCCCTTTAAAAAAAAAAAGAAAATTGCTGAAATGGGAAGAAATAACAAAAAAAAAAAAACATTTATTTGCCCAGATTCTAAAGAAAGCGACATTTGATTAGAATAACCTGAGCCCAAGAAGTTGATGTTATCTTTAGACTAGACACTGAAGCTAATGAGTCTCAACATTCCGTGACTTCCCTCCCCTTATTGTCTTGATTCCTCCCTCCACATTCTATAATGACGGAAAATGTTCAAATCTCTTGTGGTGAGTCATCTCCCTGTCAAAAGCCTACATGCAACTACAGAGTGTTGCAAAAGTATCCACAACCGTAGGATTTCTTCACATTTTTGTAATTTTATAACCGCAAACTTCCACTTACTGGGAATTCAGTGAACACAGTTAAACACAATGCTGAAGTGAAAATAATAATAAAAAAAATGTGTGGTGCTTATTTGCATTCAACCTAAAGTTCAGACTAAAAATTGTTGCACATTCCTATTTGCAAAACAGCTCAAGCTCAGCCAGACTGGATGGATTCTCCAATGGATCAAGGTCTGGACTTTGATGGTCCATTCTGTCTCTGTGATGTGTATCTCTTGGCTGGGAAGTGGGCTAGCTATTATTGCAGTAACACTATGCTAGGATCCGTTATCAAGGTGACGCAGTTGGGAAACCTTTAACTCCGGGTTACGACCGCATCCCTCAGTAATAGTCTTTCATTAGGGACAAAGGGCGTGGATTTCTGGATGCAATCCTTGCTTTTCAGTCCAAATTCAGATCTATTTATGGAGCTACTCAGGAAGCAACACAATAAACTATCCATGAATCCTCTAGGGAATTTGGAAAGCCCTCTGTTTTCTCCAAAGTGACACGACTGACCAAAGCGTCGGCACTGCTTCTTTCAGCCATTGTTGACGTCCAGATTATCCGCGTCTGGCTTCTTCTGGTGAAGAATTATGACGCATTTATGCAAATGTTGGATAAAATGCGAAGCGAAACCACAGACACTTTGAAAACAATTGGAGAAGTTTCCAAGTTAGTACTATCACATATGAAAGTGGCACAAATTTGATGTTTTAGTGGGTGAAAAGAGCATATTGGACCAGTTCATCTGTTCAGGCTGCTGTGTGAACATAGCCAGTCAAAGTTATCACACTGCTTAAGAAGGCAGAAGTGACAAATTTTGTGTTTGTATCTGTTTCGGTGGTGGTGGTATTTTGGATCGGCTGAGTAGATAAGAACCACCTAAAATAGGCGCTAGCTCTCTGCTGCCGGGAACCTACAGTGTAACAAATAATATCTGTTTTTAGCTCTGAACAAGAGCTGTGCTGCTCCTCACCACAATTTTTTTTAGGTTTTTGTCTCTAGCAGCCTTTATTTGATAGTGAATTGACAGGAAAGTGGGTAATGAGAGAAGGGGAAGATATGCGGTAAAGGTTGCCAGGCCGGGAATCGAACCTGCGACAGCCACGTTGAGGACTAAGTATGCCAGTCACAATAACAAATTTTGCTGGACTGTTGAAATCTAAAGCAGAAGAAGAAGAAGATGCCCATTTTCATTTAGCACATGCTAGTAGCAGACACAAAGGATCAGCACTTTTACTGTTACAGTTACCGTTCAGAAACAACCGTAATCAGTTCGGTTAAATCTAAACTTGGCAACTTTTTCAGCTGTAATAAATGTGATATTCAATTGACCTGTTATGACTCAAATGTTGGGTGCCCGCCCCCCTCTGCTGCTGCATCGTTGTGGAAAACCTGGAGCGGCAGAGATACCTGCGGCTTATAGTCCGTTGCAGCTTATATGTGTACGTTTACTTTTTTTTTTTAAACTTTGGAGTTGCGGCTTATAGTTCGGAAAATATGGTATTTATTTCAGAAATAGTGTTATTTCCTGGATTTATTCTGTAAAGAACCCAAAGAGGGTTATTTGATTGTGCTTTCTGGAAAACAATACATTTTTACATTTAGGCACTCCTGCAATCGTCACACTTTTTCTGTCTGGAACCTTGAAGATTGGTTTTAAATAAATGTTCTAGTTGTTTACACTGTCTTTTCGTCTCGTCAGTCACATAATTTAAACAGAATCTCTTGACCTTTTGAATGAGAAAATTAGTTTCTGAATCGAATCGTGGCCCTAAAAGTCAAAATCAAATCACTACACAATGAAAGATTTACGTCTCTCCAGCTCTTTTCCTGTTCCACACAGCTGAATCAAATGATTCCACTACCTCTTCAGCATGCCATCGAGTCTGGCAAAGGCCTGCCAACAAGACAGTAGATCTCGAGGCCTACAGTTTGGAGACCCCTGATTTAGCGTTCAGTTATTTTTCAAAGATAAAAGCTGTCTCCAGCCAGCTCTGAACATGCTGATGATGGGTTTAGATTCTGCACAAGTTTAGTCACATGCTTTTGTTTCTGTGGGTGGCCTATTGAGAACATCAAAGTGGAAGTGTGTGGCTGCAGTAGCAGAGCAGGTTGTCACTGATTGCTAGATTACCTAAAAAAATATCAGAAGAAATGAGCTCACAGCAACCTGCAGATGTAGGCCGAAGTGACTTCAACGTACACAACAGAGAAGCACTCGGCTCAGGTTTCAAAACCACTTCTCTACACATGGCACATAATTACACCTAATCTTTAGCAGGGCATGTCTGCATAGCTGCTCTCTGATCCTGTCATTGAGGTTTCTTCACAAACCAGACCCTGAAATAACTCAGAAAATCCTCCACTGCACTCCGGAGAGCTTTAGGTTGTTTGCCGTTTCCTTCTCTCCAAGTCAGTTTTAGGTTTGAAGATGCATTTTGAAATATTAGCTTGAGTGTTTTTGTGGGTACGTTTCCTCAGGGAAACCGCCGTTGCTACAAAAGTGAGCTCTGGAGCGAAGCCACTGCCAATTACTTCCCTCACGCCAACATGCAAATGCATATTCCTTGCTCTGTGTTATGATACTAAACTGAAACTTGCTTTGTGCAAGCAAGCACTGAGAGAGCGAGAGAGAGAGAGAGCGAGAGAGAGGATGAGGAAAAGGAGAAAGCAAACTTTCTTGGAGGCTAAGTGAATCAATTAGCCATCATGTGGCAGGCGGAGTGGAAATGGGTGTGTGCAGGCACACAATGGAGGAAAACAGAATGCCAGCAAATGGAAGGGTTGTGTTTCTCATTTCTGCTTGTCAGCATCCTGCAGGGGAACTGTAGAAAAACTTTAAGCTGTGCAAATACCTCAAAACCACCTAAAGACTTGCCAAGCTGCGTGTAAACAAACTCGTATCAGTACTATGTGTTGTTATTTGGATTTTTTAGACCAACAAAAAGTAATAAAGTGGCATTTTGACTTTATTTCAATAACCCTCAGAGACCAAACCTGAGTTGTTTGGGGAAAAAACACTAAAACTAGCTTGTGAAACATGGTGTTCAGAGTATCATACTGTGTTTGATATTTCTGATCATCAATAGCTGTGTTTCCATTGACCTTAAAATTCCACAAGGGATTACAAGAATAACGGAAACACACCAATTTTGAAAAAAAAAAAA